TTTGGTGATGATAGCTATTTTCATTAAGCAAATGATCAACCGGTTCAACCTGAAAATTGCTATTACTACTTCTACTTTCATTCCTACAACTAGCATCTTCTCCATGTTGATACCGAATATAATAATATGGCATGAAACCTCTATTTATTAAATGTTTCCAAGCATTTTCACGAGGGCCTAATTTTGTATTGCAGCAGTTCCGACAAGGACAGAACATCTTACCACTTTCCTGCGTGAGTGGTGTACAATCTGTTGATGCATAAACGTCTCCAACCCTTCGAGAAATTCTTTCGTCACTCTCTCGTTATTATCTCTGTGTGAATACATCAACTTCCGCAACTCGAAAATATTTCCCGGACCGGACATTTTTTTTGTCTTTGATCAAGCTTAAAACTGATTTTTTTTTGGTGTGTTTGAAATGAATCACAAATGGTGGTACTTATAGAAATTTTCGAATATGAGCATTTACTAGGAAATTGCTAGGAAAGGTAGGTACAAAACACGTTTTAGATTTAAATTAGATATTTTCTATCAAGTTTCTCGCTAATTTAAAGTAAAAGATCATTTACTCATAATTTCATAGTAATGTTTTACTAGGATTTTACGAGGAAAGTATTTACTACGAGATTACGAGGAAATGGTCTTTTGCCACGTAGTTTTCTCGTAATTTAACTACGGTCTTACGAGGAAACATTTTTCTCGTACGTTTATGAGGACTTTACGAGGATTCCTGTTTTCCTCGTAAAACCGAAGTAAGCTCGTAGTAAATTTACGAGGAGTTATTTTCCTAATAAAATTTTCTAGTAAATTCTTAATTTTCTTGTGGTGTTGGAATCAATGATTTTGTGAAAGAAACTATGACCTAATCATTTATATATTAATTGAGAAGTATTAGAACATGTGAGTGTAGCTACATATCACCACTAGGAAGATTCTTAGATTCAATAAAAAAATAAGTTGGTTCTTCTAAACAAATATTATAATTTTTATTAAATTAGCTTTCAAATTAATTAGTAGTATACAAATGAATATTGTCTATTATTTCTTTAAATAAAAACTATGGAAGTACCTAGTATAATTAATATATATATATATGAAATTAATAATTTTGAATATAAATATTTGATAACAATTGTATTCTCTATTATTTTTGTTTAATTTTTACTTTTAAAATAAATTAAACAATCACATTAACCATATAATAAATACTTCTTTTAAAATATGATATATATGTGTGTGTTAATATAAATTAAATTTAATTATACACCATATAAAATAAATGAAATGATTGTTTTGATTTATTTACTAATAAAATTATTGTAAATAAACAGAGTGATTGTTTTGGTTTATGTGTTTACTTCAGTTTAGTTATATACATAATTATTACTAGCTTCTCCATTATTCAAAATCTTTATTATTTCATAATATGTAAATGAAAACAAGATAAAAAATAATATGTAAAAAAATGTATATATAATGTTTATCTTGCGCATGGCGCAAATATTAACCTATGCGCAGATTTTAACCTACTATATGTTTATATAAGAAGATTTATATAGTTTTTAACAGTGATAATGTGTAGTTTTTTACAAAAAAAAGATTAGATAATTTTTTTTTAAATAAGAATTTGTATATTACTATTCGTATTTCTAGTTAAAATGTAAAACGACATATTTTTGAAATATATACATATATATATATATGTATATATAACTCTAAAGATTATGAACTAACTCATGTTCAACAAAACTCATTCATATAACTCGTGAGATAAATTAAGTTCGATCAACTCAGATAATGAATGAGTCTCGAAATCATAGCGCTTAATGAAAGACTGAGCTGAGTCATCTCATGAGTCCACGCTCAGTTTGACACACCCGAAGCTTTGTTTTTCTGCCGATCTAGTCTGTAATCATTTTCGATTTTACCAGTTACCACGAAGGCCCAAGTATCGGTTTAATTACTGGTTAAGGATCCGGTTTAGAGAAAACCGTGAGAGTGTGACGTGTGGAACTCTGGATTCTTTGAGTCAACATAGCTCAAAGTGAACAAAACAATATTTTGTAACGTATCAGAAAATTTCCTTTCCAATACTTTTAATTAGAGAGAGAGAGAGATCTTCTCTTTCAAGTTCTAGAGCTTTCTCCGCCGATTACATCTCCTTTAGCCATGGTAATAAAAAAAAATGTTTTCAGCTTCTTGCCTACATATTTCACAGTTTCTCTGGATTCTCTGCTAATTTTGGATTGTGTTATGGGTTTTTCTTTGTCTAGGAAAATTGACGGAAACGAAAGAAAACTAAAATGCATGCGATATGTTAGATTTTGTAATTTTTTGTTTTAGCTGGTTAGAGTTTATAATTAAAAAGAAATTAGCAGTAGTTTGAAGTAAGTGGTTAAAACCAAATAGATTTATGTGAAGCTTGCATGTGAAAATTTCAACTTCAAATTTTGTTGATGATGATGATGATCTTAATAGCGTGGAAAAATTAGCTTTGAAATCATAAAAGGAGGTGCTAGTTTGAGTTGGTTGAATGTTGTTTAACTAATTACAAAAAAAAAAATTGAATTTTTGTTGTTCATAGAATATTTTTTTTAGGTTAGTTTGTAATAAGGTTGGAATAGAAGCAGATGGTGAAGATGTTGTGTAGCAGTTTGACTTCCCTGTATCCATATTCCATAGGGAAAAGGGATAATAGGCTTTCTCTTAATCTGTAATTGAGAATTTGAAGTTATTCTCAAATGTTGTTCTATCATAAGATCATCCTTTCATGATTTTCAATAGCTCACAATCTTTAAGCTTTCTTGTGTGTTTTCTTTGTTCACATAGGAGTTACACCCAAAAGTGAAGAACATTTTGCTTCTTGATTCCGAAGGAAAGCGCATAGCGGCTAAGTACTACACTGACGACTGGCCAACAAATACGGCTAAAGAAGCATTCGAAAAAACTGTCTTCTCAAAGACTAAGAAAACAAACGCTCGCACCGAAGGTAAGTAATTTTTTTTCGCATTAAATTATGTTTTGTAATAAACTCATTTGTCTTGATTGCTAGTTCTTGATACGCAGTGGAAGTGACGGCACTAGAGAACAATATTATTGTGTACAAATTTGTGCAAGATCTTCATTTCTATGTTACGGGAGGTGAAGAAGAAAACGAGCTTATCTTAGCCAGTGTGCTTCAGGGTCTCTTCGATGCAGTGAATCTCCTCCTCAGGTCTTGCTTTATCATAGCTTCAGTTCCCATATTGCACTCAAGTTCTTAGACTTTCCTTTCTTTCCAAACTCATAATCACAGAGGCAATGTTGATAAGAGAGAGGCATTGGACAATCTTGATCTCATCTTTCTATGCTTTGATGAAATTATAGATGGCGGGTATGAAAGTTTCTCCTCCTTACAACATTTCCTTTAGATAAATGAATCGTTTCATAGGTTGTATATATACTCTAAAATACTACTACTCTTATATTATATCTGATCAGTATTGTCCTGGAGACCGATGCAAATGTGATAGCAGAAAAGGCAGGAATCAATAGCTTTGACCCTAACGCTCCTCTATCCGAGCAGGTATTTTCTTGTTCTAAATGTGATATTTTTTCATGTTAAAAATGTAACAAATAACTAATGAACTTGTTACATTTCTGTGTGTGTGTTTTTGGTTTTGGCTTCAGACGATAAGTCAGGCACTCGCGACTGCAAGAGAGCATTTGACAAGGTCACTTATGAAATGATGTGCGTGTATTGCTTTCTGGTTAATGTTGTTTGGTTGTTATCCAAGTATAAACTGAAAACTTGGAGACTATGACTCTTTGTCACAACGAGTTAGATTAAAAAAAAAATCAAAGTTTATATTTGTTTCTTTTTTCATGTTTTATACAAAAGTAAATTACAAAACATAGATCAGGTACAAAATAACCCATGTTCATCTTTACTTTTAAGCATTTGCTTAACATGATCACCAACGCTGAGATACAATTACCAATTACTCTTTTTCTTGAACTTCACCAGTTACTTTATTTTGACACGGTTAGATTACGCGCTGAAGATGATCAATGCTAATGAGTTGAGAATTTGTTTTTCTTTGACATCGAACGATTTTTTATTTTTTTATTTTTATTTTTTAACCCGACGAGAATAGAATAAGCAGTTTTACCATAAAAAATCTTGTAATCTTAGCTAAAGAGTCAAAATTCGGTTTTGAGCTTTCTTGAGATACTAGGATAAGACATATGTCTTGCGCAGGTGAATGTATATAATTAAAATATAAAATTTTAGTATTGACAAATTAAAAATTTACATATGATTGTTTTTATATGTATTTGAAATTTTAGAATTTTGAAATTTTTATATAATTATTTATACATAAAATCAAAAACAATTGTAATTACAACTGTAAATCAAAGCTTGTAATTTAATGGACCTGATTTCATATATCTTTTCACTTTTGAGTGTTCGAGTGATGAAAAATAAACGGAGTGTCACTGGACTTGAAGGGTAGAGTATTAGCAAATTCCCTAATGTTTTTTTAAGAAGCAATTGGTAAAATATTTACATTTAAAATATATAAAGTTTCAGAAGTAATTAAGATATTTATTTATTTGTCTAATAATATTAGAAAATTTTACTTTTTACAAATTATTTAATGAAAAATAATAATTTTATAAATAATAAGTTAAATTTTAAATTATTTTTTAAAACAATATTTTTAAGTTTTTAAAATACAAATAAATAATTTAAAATTAATTATGGTCATGACTTAACATAACCATAATGATCATGATTTAACATTACCATAATGATTTAAAAATTAAAAATTTAAATGAACAAATTAAAAATTAACTCAGTTTTATATCATGATTCAACAATTTAAAAATTAATTATGGCTATGAAAACTTTACGTTCACGTGTCAATCTTATTTATCTTCAATTTTTTTCTCTTGATGTGTTTTTTTATTATGGTTATTACTCGATATATATATTTATTTTGAAGTTTATTCTCTTTTCGTTTGTTTGTTTTGACATGAGATTTAGAAAATACTTAAGATTTAAAATAATTAAAGAGATATACTTTATGCACAATAAATATTTTATATTTTATATTTATTTATATATTTCTGCATATTATAAAATAATAAATATATATGTTAAATAACTAAAAATTCAGTTACTATTATGTAATAAATTGGCGTATGCATATAAATTAACTATCACTCTTGTTTATTCGTAATTAGGGTATATAAATCAAAATAATCAATCTTATATATTGTATATGATATAGAATTATATTTAAATGATCCAAACATAGTAATATAGCACACTTTTAATATGGATATTTATTGAATGAGGTTTCTACTCATATGATTATATGATTATTTGCATATTTGTGTAACAAAACTTTATACCAATAATTTTTTTTTAATGTGAGATGTTTAGTAGTTTCAATAATTTATAATCATTTTCAAAAAACTAATTTATTTCAAAATTAAAATATTAACTTTTCAATATATGTTCAATGCGAATATCAAAATATAAGTATGTATTTTCATACGATGTATAGTTTAGTTTAAACAATATGAAATATATAACTAAAATTATTTCTTCATATGATCTTATAATCATTATATTTTAATATAGAAACAAAAAATAAAAATTTGATCCTAAAAGTTTATATGAGACTTTTAAAAGTTTTAGTAATTTATACTCATTTTGAAAAATTTGAAATACAACATACACAAAAAAATATAGATTTTTATTATATGATTAATGTAACTGTGTAATTTATTTTAGTAATAAAGAAATAAACAAAATGAAAAAAAAAATACAGATTGTTATTGAATCTTTATTGTTTAAAACCATCAATTGCCATATATATATATTATAATCACATTAGGTAATTCCGTAGATTTTATTTAAGGAAAGCATACAAAATAATAAATATTTGATATATGCAACCAATTATAACTTACGAAATATTATATTGCTAGAGAGTATAATTCTTAAACTATACATTATATTAAAAGCTTTAGAATCCTTTTAAACTGAAATAGGAAAAAAAAAACTATGTCATATAGAATATGAGTTATTTTTAATTATTAATAACTTAAGGTTTCAATTTTTTAAATGATTCTTTTTTAATATATAGGAAATAAGATCTAAAGAGTTGAGAATCTTTAGATTATGACAATTTGCAATATTTTATAAATCCACTAATAGTCTATACTATTAATTAAGAAAAATAAAGTACTATAATAAAGAAAAAAAATCACGCAAAAATGTCGACATACATGGCGTGTGCCTACAACATTCTCGAGAACTTATCACCAAAGGTGTCCCTTCTCCGAAAGTCTAAAACGTTGCCCAAACTACAAACTTACATCACGATGTCGACATTCTTATTTTATTATTCTGTAACCAACGTATCGAGATTCTCGTACTTACCTCCCACTCATTCATTTATGTTGTTTGGATGTTTCCGAGATATTCTCTTACGCAAATCTCTCATCACTCTTCCTTCTCATGATCCCAACGAGATCTTCTCCTTAGTCTCCCAATGTTCTTCATCGATGTTCGTCAAATCTTCGATTCCCTTATATCCTTGCAATTTGTGTTATTGAATTATAAAAAAAAACTGATTTAGGGTTTTATTGACGTTTAGGTTCTTTGGAACTTACTTCCTCTCTCAGGTATATTTCGTCGTCGACAATCTCCATTGAAATAATGATTGTAGTCGGAAAAAATATATTGATATCACCTTTTCTTCTGAATTTGAAGTCTCTGCATGTAATTTGAAGTTTGATTTGTGAAGGTTCTCGCAATCTCACATTGATTTTAAGCATTTTACACGAACTTGTCCGTTTAAAGTTCGTACTTTTGTTCTGTCTGTTATGTTTTATCTGTTCAAAGATTCATACTTTTTTTTTGCTGTTATGTTTGGTTCTGTTCAGTTTTATCTGCTTAAAGATTCATACAATTAATGTTCAAAAAATAAAATAAAAATCATACTTTTGTTATGTTTGGTTCTGTTCTGTTCTGTTTTATCTGTTTAAAAATTTTGTTCTGTTCTGTATTATCTGCTTAAAGACTCATACTTTTTGTTATGTTATGTTTGGTTCTGTTCTGTACTAAAAAAACAGCAACAGAGTCCACTTTACAGATAGTTCCCTACACAATGTCTGCTGCTTCACCATCAGCCATCCTCTGCAATGCCTCCGAGTCAGACCCTTGTCGTGACGACTCAGCAGCGTTTCTACTGAAACTAGTAGCCATTGCATCAATCCTCTTATCTGGTGCAGCAGGTGTATCTGTCCCCCTCATAGGCAGGAACCGTCGGTTCCTTCAAACGGACGGTAACCTCTTTGTAACCGCTAAAGCCTTTGCGGCTGGTGTGATCCTCGCCACGGGGTTTGTTCACATGTTAGCCGGCGGCACGGAGGCTTTGAAGAACCCGTGCTTACCGGAGTTCCCTTGGTCTAAGTTTCCTTTTCCGGGGTTCTTTGCGATGGTTGCTGCTTTGATCACTCTGCTTGTGGATTTCATGGGGACTCAGTACTATGAGAGGAAGCAGCAAGAGAGGGAGGCTGATGATGAACAGTCTCGGAGTATTGTTGTTCCCTTGGTTGCTGAAGAAGGATGTAGTGGTGAGAAAGTGTTTGGAGAAGAAGAGAGTGGTGGGATTCATATTGTTGGGATTCATGCTCATGCTGCTCATCATAGACATAGTCACTCTCATGGTCATGGTTCTTGTGATGGACATAGTAAAATCGACATTGGTCATGGTCATGGACATGGACACGTGCATGGAGGTTTGAAACTTGGAAGTGGAGCAAGACATGTTGTTGTTTCTCAGGTACTAACTCTCTGTTTCTTGAATCTTGAATCTTGGTTCTTGAATCTTGAATCTTGAATCTTGAATCTTGAATCTTGAATCTTGAATCTTGAATCTTGAATCTTGAATCTTAATTCTTGTAGAGCTTCAAAATATTCAAAATGAATCTAATCTTATTGTTATTGTTAGGTTTTGGAGCTTGGAATAGTGTCACACTCCATTATCATCGGTATATCACTTGGAGTATCTCAATCTCCATGCACAATCCGGCCTCTAATCGCAGCACTATCCTTCCACCAGTTCTTTGAAGGGTTTGCGCTCGGTGGATGCATCTCCCAAGCGCAGTTCAAGAACAAGTCAGCGACCATAATGGCATGTTTTTTCGCCCTCACGACGCCTATAGGGATCGGGATTGGAACTGCAGTAGCGTCCTCTTTCAACTCTCACAGCGTTGGAGCGTTGGTCACTGAAGGTGTCTTGGATTCTCTGTCGGCAGGGATACTTGTGTACATGGCTTTGGTGGATCTTATTGCTGCTGATTTCTTGAGTAAGAGGATGAGTTGTAACTTTAGGCTTCAGATTGTTTCTTATTTGATGTTGTTTCTTGGAGCTGGACTCATGTCTTCTCTTGCTATTTGGGCTTAGATTGTATGATTACTTCTTTTGTTATAGTTGCTAGCTACAAACAATGTCTAAATAGTTTTAGAATTATCAATCTTGATTTGTGTTTTCTTGATTATTCAAACTGGGGACAGCTTGGCAATAGGTTAGTGAATATTTGGGAATTTACTTTCATTGGCTAGTTCAAATTCAATACGGATGGTGCTTCCAAAAGGAACCTTTTCTTGCATGGTGTTGCAACGGGACATTCTGGTAAGTCGGGTGCTGGGTATTTATAAAAGTGAAAACGCAAATGCAAACGTAAATGATTGGTTGCATCCTCATTTAAATCATCTTATAATCTCTACTTTTTTAATCAACTACCTATGATCATATACAAAGCACATATGACAAGCTTTTTCTGCAACACAACCACAACGAACAGCGTGCATCATTTTAAACTTCCCAATTTCCCATAAGCTTTTTGTCATTTTTTTCTTTTTAAAGATGCATCTTCTGTCAATGAAAACCACAATTTAACGTATAACCCTTTAGAAACCACTAAACCAAAAGGTTTTCACAACTGTATGTATTGCGTTTAGTTACTTAAGTTTTTTTTTGGGTCAAAGGTACTTTAGTATGTACATTTACAATTAACCAAAAAATTGTTTAATAGGTACAATGTACTTGATAATTTCAGAAAATGTAATCCATTTGTTTTGGATGAATAGAATCTTTAGATGTTACCTCGATAATTGGTTGAATTGTAATTGTAGAGAATTTAGTTAGTAGAATTTTGTAGATTTCTTTTTTTAATTTAGTTGTATCTTATGTATCTATAAAAATTAAATGAGAAGGAGAAGAAAAAAAGAAAGATGTTACTACAACAAATATTCCTTTCCTAAAAATCTTAGTAAATAAGACTTTTACAATAATTATTTTTTAAAAAATTGATTTTAACTTTAAAAACTGAATAAATTATTATCTGTGATGTTTGTGATTGTAGATAAAAATTAAAACTAGATACATTTGCTATAGCCCAACCAATCACACTTCATAATTAATTAAGATATAAACTTACAGATCACACAATATTTCTTTACAGAAATATTATTATTATTGTGAAACACAAGTAATGCATTAACAATGTCGAAAAGTATTATAGTATTAGCTCAGAAGTTCGTAGCTAAATATTTCTCCGTTTTTAAAAGGTATATGTTACAAAAATTGTTTCAAAATATTTTTTTAAAATTCTATATATACTTTTACTTGTAAATAATGAAAAGTTGCAGAAAAATTAAACAAGAGATAACTTTATTAATGCTAAAGGTTTAATTACTGAGAGTTGCTTCTCAAATAAAATAATATATTTACAATCAAAATTTTATTTGTTTTTAATGTGTGGAAGATGAAATAAACTAATCTGAATAAAAGGGAGTAGTCTCTCCAATGTTCAAAGATAATGTTTTGATTTGTAACAAAAAATAAAAATAAAATAAAAAGAAGATAATGTTATATTTTCATCAAAGGTGCACCACTTATTAATCTTCAAAGAAACTCTATTTCCAATGTTTAAAGATAATGTTTAGATTCACATCAAAAGTTATTAATAAGAACATGCATTACCATAAGTTTTAAACAGTTATCCATTGATCTTACCGAAAGATGGTCCAAACTCCAAACCAAGAACAAGTACAACAGACAACAATAGATTATACTAAAGTAACAACAAACTCAACCCAAAATGTAAAGACATGAATAATGATTATGAAACCATCACAAGCAAGTGATGATGGTCTTAAACAATGTCCTCTTCTCTGTGGGTCTCAATGGTAACATCAGAAGTAGGATAAGCCGCACAAGTGAGAACAAACCCTGCATCCATCTGCTCATCATCGAGGAAACTCTGGTCAGACTGGTCAACAGAGCCAGACACAACTTTACCAGCACAGCTCGAGCAAGAACCGGCACGGCAAGAGTAAGGCAAGTCGATCCCGGCCTCCTCAGCAGCGTCGAGGACGTAAACGTCGTCGTCGCACTCAACCTCTTGCTCTCCTTCTGGTGTGATGAACTTGACCTTGTATGTAGCCATGGCTGTGACGCGTCCGCCGCGTGCGGTGCCTGACTTGAGACCGAAGAGGGTTTGGGTGTTGGCTAAGGGGAGGGAACGGAGGCTGATGGGAGATGTTTGACGGCGGAGGAAGGAAGTTCCGACGATGGCGCTTGAGAGAGCTGTTGAGGCCATTTTAGAGTTTGAGGATTTTTCTTGGTTTCTCTGTGTTGTGTTGTGGCTTGTGGAAATGGCATGGAGAGTGTGAAGGAGATTAAAAGGTGGGATTGTTGTGGAATCCTATCTTCCACGTGGCGTTTATTCTGTGGATTGATGGATTATCGTCTTTTTTTTTGGTGAATTGTGATTTGTTTCCTTTTTGTGTGTGATTGTGTTTGACACACTTTACACTATCTTGTTGAGGTGCTACGTGGGCTAACTTGAGACAACTAATAACATACTTCTGCGAACCGACCTGATGTTTTTTGAATTTTGATTTATGTCCGGTTATAAGTTCTTAACCAAACGGTAGATTTTACCCAATTTTTTTTTTTGATTATCAATTTAGCAGTCAATTAACTCGTTTTTTCATTAAAAAATTCATACCAATTATATGAAATTAAACCAGAATTATATATAAAGTTTGAAATCAAAAATTTAATCAAAACTAATAAAAATGACTTGAATTTTAATCAAAATACTTAACAATAATCAAAACAGAAAATCACAAAATATCAGTTCAATACACCAATTTCAATAACATTTGGACCATGCCAAGTTTTATTCGGTTCAATCAGCAGCATTTTACGGAGGGTTTTAATTTTTTAAGACCAAATTAAAAACTGTGTTTTGTTGGCTATCTCTTTACGGCGACGAGGGAACCAACAAGAGTATCTCTGAGAGTCCTAAACTAAAAGAGAGCAGATTATATTTTACCAAAAAGGGGAGAAAAAAGCTCACTGCAAACGAAAAAAAGGAAATTTCAAGAAGAATATAAATTGGATTCTCAAATTACTACACAGCCTGTCTTCATCCATCCATTCATTCCACACTTTCCGTTGTTTGTAATAATCTAAACTCGTAAGAAGCTCCTTTCTACCATACTTAACTGTCACCAACAACATTCATCTTTCCCGCCTTTCCTTTACGCTTTTGCTTCACTAACTCTCTCTCTCTAGTCGCACTTGATGTTTCTGTAGATCCTCCTAACAAACAGATTCGATCCTAAGAACCCAACAGCTCCTGCACATTCATTTACCAAACAATCTTCACACCAAACCACGTGCCACTTTGGAAAATGAGACAATAATATGAATATTAAACTAACCGCAAAGGATTCCGAGGCCGAGACAGAACATCAAGGTGTATCCAAAGTAGAAGCTGGTCTGGAAAAACCCAAACATCTTGGTCTTTACGTAGTAGTAATAGATGGAGTATAAGTAGACATAAACCGCAGTGGAAGCAGCTGAGAAGAACGATGTCCATTGCCAGTGATAGTTTTCAGCATTCAGCAAGAAGTATGTTCCCACGATCGTCACACAGACCGTCACCACAACAAGAATCAAAAACACAAGCAGCATGAACCCGTACACATAGTACACCTGTAAAGAAATGTACGGTCAGTTTTACTCTTTCTAATTGAAGTTGTGTAAGAGATGGTTTACCTTGTAATTCCAGAAGGATGTGAAGACGAAGTACATTTCAATGAAGATGCTGCCAAAGGGTAAGAGACCTCCCATAAGAGAGACTACTGATGGAGTCAGGTACCATTTCTTCTCAGGGATTGGACGTGGGATTGTCTTCACACGGCACGGGTTGTTAGGGGCACCACTCCAGTTTCTACCAACGACTGTCCCGAGGAGGGCTAGAGGGAACGAAATGAAACCCCAAATTACGAACACAACCACCATTGTTCCAAAGGGAATAGCAGCAAGAGATCCGTAGAATATGGCGATTGTGTTTAGAATGAATCCGATCCCAAAGCACAAGAATGGGAAGAGAGAAGCTGTGAGGATCATGCACTTGATCCAATGTTTACCTGCACAAAATAAGTTTTAAAAGAAACTTGATTATTATTCAAAGGAAGGTATGTTATTGGAGAACTTGCTTGCTGCTTTCAACAAAGAAGGATACAACATGAACATACCCCCACTTCTTGAGTACATTCCACCGCTCACATAACCAGAGATAAATGACGTCAGAGCGTAGCAAACTATGAAAGTTGTGACGATTGCTCCTCTCCTGAATAAGTTTAAACCAGCGTGAAATTCAGACATAAATGCTAATCACTCACTCCGTGAGAAATAACAACATGAGAAGTTGACTGAAAAGTAAGAGTGTAATACATACCCAACATAAAGTGTCCCAATGATTGCCATTAATATGACAAGAAGAACAAGCAAAGCCAGCTGTGCACCTGTACCAACAACAGCCGAGAGAAGCACCAGACCACGTGGTGGTCGGAATACATCTCCGTGCACGAGTTTCCATCCAGATTCTTCATTTACATCGCGTTCCTGTTATCAATACATACAAATGGTCAGAAGTTGCTCCACGCTCTTGCGCTAGCGAAGAAGATAAAATTAACGACACAATAGTACACTAAGAGAACTTTTGCAGCTATTATTCTAGATGAGATTGAGGAAACATCACCAGGCTCTCCAGGTCGTCGTCTTCTCGAGCATATTTAGCATAATCATTTCTGAGAGTCCTCATCAATATCATTGAGACCAAACCAGTGAGGAAGATAACCATCATGAACGAGTTAAAGATGGAGAACCAATGGATCTGCATGATTAACGAATCCATTAAAAACCCTTACAAAAAGCTTCACAAAAAGAAACTCTTAAGATAGTTTTATCATTTTGATCCACAAGCAAATAAAGGAGTATGAAGTGTAATAGGTATCAAATTATGAAGCATATAAATAATGTCTGACAGCAGAAGGATGTAAACAGTAACTCAGTATGACATCACATGCTATGATTTACCTGGTGTTCGAAAAAAGGATAATCAAGATAAACATCAAAACGACGAGCAAATGTGATATCGGTTGGGGTCCAATTCACAGAATATGTCAAATCCACCGTCCTCCCTGCTTCTAACGGCATTGGGTTGTCTTGAGTGAGATTCACATGAATAATCTATGCAAATAACAAAAAAAAAAAAATCAGATCACAGCAAAGTTCATACGAGATCATAAGTACTGCTCAATGGCAAAGAAACAACCCACCTGGTCTTTGTTGTATTTGACATTAATACTCTTATGAGTATAAAGAACATGCTTGCCGTTTTCACCATTTTTTCCAGGTGCCAACTCGCCCACAAAGCCTATAACAACAATGATACAGGTAAAAGTTTATGTCAAGAAATAAAATTGAAATTTTGGTTGTTCAAAGTGAATATAAGAAAAAAAGCATACCCCACAAAGGCAGATCATCTGAACTTGCATCCACGTACGCCATAAACATCATTTGTGACAAAAAGATTAGCAAACTAAGGACGCTAAAGTTTGATTAACACTGACGAAGAATACTGGATATATGGTGATATCGTAGTAAAAGCTCATTTAAACAATGTTCATTGGACAAACAAGTTAAGTTCCTTTGATATTTCTTCCTCAGTAAAATGTACAAGTAAATGTGATACATACCCATAAATAATTCAAACCAGTAGCTATTTTCTATGGCATCTTTGAACTGCTTGACCTTAGCTTCATCAAGTTCCAAATGACATATCACGCTTCTGTCAACATTTTCTGGGAATAAAACAGACAAAGACAATATAACTGTAGTGCAATCAAGATAAAAAATTTGAAAGAAAAACTAGCACAAGAATTAACATACTCAAAAACTTTATGTCAATCTGGCTGTCGATGAGCTCATTTCCACCAAGAACCTCACCAAGACCACCCCATTTGTGAACGCTGTTTTCATTTTTGCGGCAAAACGGGAGACTATAATAGTTGTATGTTTCTTGTGGATTATTATATGGGCCAACTTTGTTCACCCACAGAGTAACCTGCTCATTAGCTTGAAACTGGAAACAAAAAAGGAGATTCATCACTTGCACATGGAAAAAAATAAGGAAACAACGAAAAGGACTAAATCAAAACCCAGAAAGAATGACAGAGTCAAATATCATGCCTAGACATATATTGGAGATATCTTATATGTTCGAAAAAACAGTACAAGAAGAACCATCCTTTGGAAGAAAAAAGGGAAACCATTGCAAATCTTGTCACTGCAACTCTATTATTTCCTCAGAATACATAAGATTGTTATTTGTTGTTCAAAAAATAATAATACAAGTCTGTTATTTAACAAGACTATATTCCCTTGTTATTAGACAATGGACAACAAGATTACCAATGTTAACGCATGATTTGCTCTTTCATTATAACGTCACATCAAACAGAAAAAACAAATGTGGAAACTGCATTTACAGTTAAACTAAATATTTATGCTAAGAGTAAACTTAATAATAAAATCTCAAAGGGAAAGACGCAATGCAACCAGAAGGCAAACCTTTGCATACTCAGATCTTTAAACCTCAACAATAACAAGAAACCATGACATTTTTTTAATCCAAAACTTAGATATGTGATAAGGAAATCACAACTTAAATTATTTTGACGCTTAGTTCTCCGATCTCTAAAATCTCTATCAGATCTAACTAACATCATCCAAAAGCTAAACCTAACAAGGAACTGAAGGACCATATTCCACTCTCTGTCTCACTGAAATGTATCACACCTGACACAATGATCATTCAAACAGGCCTGCCACAAGCACTAATGGGCTTTATTTACTCAATCAAACGAAAATTAGAAACCTAATCCATAAAGCTTCGAAATCGATTAAACCTAAAACACAGTGTAGAGCCAGCTCCCAAAACAAACAGATCCAAGCCAAAAAACTAACATGCAGCAGCGAGATCTACGAGTATAGAACTCGAATCGAGCTACAGATAAGAAAGAAAAGACGGCAGACACTAGAGATTTCAAATCTAACCTTGTGATCTGACTCGGAGGCCAAAGCCGGGGAGAGAAGAGGAAGAAGAAGGAAGACGCATGCGACGGCGGGGAAGAGAGATTGGACGGCGGAGGAGGACGGCATATCGGAACCCGGCGGAGGCTCAGATCTAAGGGCGCGGTGATTGGGAGATGTGTTGCAATTTTATCAGCTCTTTTATTTTCGTTTTCGCAAATTTATTAATCTTCGATTCGGAAAATTGGGATACACGAAATTACCTCAAAAGTATTTGCGACAAAAGCCCAAATAGTTTAATATTTAGGGTCTGACTAGTTATTTGCGGTTGCATACGTTTGCGGATGCGGAAGATTGCGGTTTTAAGCGTTAGTAAAAGATTTAGACGACTGATTCAATGGTTAAAAGTATTTGCGTTGGCGGGATACTTATGACTGGTTTATTACCAAATACAGTAGCGGTTAAATACAAAATTAACAATATTTATATTTTATATAATTATCAAAATATTAAAATCATATTTTTAAAATAAAATATAAAATTTTATTGATAAAAATGTACTATTATATTTTTTTAAAAAAATAAAGAAAATATTTTTTGTAGATTTTATAGTATAAATATTTTTGTATTTCAATTATTCTAACTTAAAATTTTAATTGAATACTTTATTTTTAATATTTATATAGTTTTCTGGTAAAAAAAAATTTCATCCTCCCGCAATCGCCCACTACCTCAAATGATAGCTGGAATGAATTTTTGAATTTTAGAGATTCATAGCGATCTGAAGCGGTTTATAGTGTTTTCTGTGATTGTTGCAAAACGCCAAAAACCGCTACCAACCGAAAAAGCTGCGTTTGTGGGTGATGGCGGAAGAACCGATCAAGCCCTTAGTCTCCGAATGTTTAGTGCATTCCTAGTAAAATGCACAGTGAAAAACAAAATAGATTATCTTTCAATATATTTTTATGTTTTTAACTTTTATTAAAAATAATTAATTAAAAAGAAGAAGTGAAAAATATGACAAATATACAGTACATACAAATTCTAAATGGTAATGAGTGAGACAATTGCAGAACAACTGTAGTGCTATTCAAATAATAATAAACCGTATAATATATATATATGTATAAAGATTTTTGTTACAACAACTGTAGTACTATTCAAATAATAATAAACCGTATAAAATATGTATATAAATATATGTATAAATATTTTTGTTACAATTCATGGTACAGTACGGTTGGTTATCATTCAAAACTTTATGCCATTAGCCTTGGGAATATCTTCCCAAAATTCTCATCAATAAAAAAATAAAGAAATAAGAAAAGAAAGGAGGAAGAGAAGGATCATATCTACGGAAAGAGACATTCTCATGGTTGAAAAGTACTCTCATTCCACTTATCAACCATACAAAATTTTAATAATTAAAGATATTTAGTTTAATTTTTGAGATATTCACTATGGTTTCTAACCACTGTAGGTACCTTTAACCTCTGAATGATCAGTGCAATACTATTAAAACATACGGTAGAAAACAAAATAGGTTACCAGTCAATATTTTTTTTTGTTTTTTTTCTTTTTGATTAAAAATATTTAATTAAAAAAAAAGTGAAAGATGGGACAAACATACACTTGATACACACATATAGGTTTCGTATATTTAGTGCAGTTCTAGTAAAAGGCAGATCGAAAAACAAAATAGATTACTATTCAACAATTTTTTTGTGATTTTCTTTTTGATTAAAAAGGAAGTTAAAAACGGGACAAATATACACTTGATATGCACATATAGGCTCCATATGCTTAGTGTGGTTCTATTAAAACGCACAATAGAAAACAAAACAGATTCATCAAAGTAAATTTTTTTGTGTTTTTATTAAAAAAAAAAATAAAAAAAAGAAGTGAAGGACAAGACAAATATACACTTGAATTGTACATATAGACTTCGGATATTTAGTACGGTCCTAGTAAAACGCACAATGGAAAACAAAATGGATTACCATTCAGTAAACCTTTTGTGCTTTTTTTTATTAAAATAATTTAATCTAAAATTAGAAGTGAAGGATGGGAGAAATATACACTTGATATGCACATATATACTACGTATGTTTAGTGCGGTTCTAGTAAAATGCAGAGCGGAAACCAAAATAAGTTACCATTCAGCAAACTTTTTGTGATTTTCTTTTTGATTAAAAAAGAAGTGAAAGATGGGACAAATATACACTTGATACGCAAATATAGGCTCTGTATGTTTAGTGTAATTCTAGTAAAACGCACACCGGAAAACAAAATAGATTACCATTCAGTAAACTTTTTGTGTTTTTCTTTTGTTTAAAATAATTAATTAAAAAGACTAAGTGAAGGGCGGGACAAATATACACTTGAACTGCATATATATACTCCGGATATATAGTACGGTCCTAGTAAAAGGCACAGCAGAAAACAAAATGGGTTACCATTTAGTATACATTTTGTGCTTTTCTTTTTGATTAAAATAATTAATTTAAAAAGAGAAGTGAAGGACGGGAGAAATATACATTTGAACTGCACATATAGGCTCCGAATGTTTAGTGTAAAACGCAAAGCAAGAAACAAAATGGGTTACCATTCAATAAATTTTTTTGTACTTTTCTTTCTAATTAAAATATCTTATTAAAAATAACTAATTAAAAGGAAGAAGTGAAGAGCGGGACAAATATACACTTGAACTGCACATATAGGCTCAGAATGTGTTAGTGTGTTCTTGGTAAAACGATGACGGAGTTCTGGTGGAGTAGTGGGAATAATCGTAGGAAGATATCATGGGTTGCATAGAAGAAACTTTGCAAACCTAAAGAAGTGTGTGGTTTGGTTTTCCATGACATTGAGTTGTTTAATCACGCTCTCTTGGGTAAACAAGCCTGGAGAATTTGAGATAGACCTAGCTCTTTACTTGCTCATATTCTAAAACACAGGTAATTTGCAACGTCAGAGTTTTTGGATTGTGGAGTTTGGTTAGAGAAGCATATTACATGGGCGGGAGCTTCTCAAGCAAGGTCTCCTTAAATTTATTAGAAATGGAGTATCCACCAAGGTCTGGTTAGATAATTGGATCATGGATGAGATCCCTAGGCTTCCGAGATATCACCAGGAAGCGGTTGTTGATCTTACTATGGAGGTTGCTGAGTTAATTGATATACCATCCCAATCATGGAGCAGGGAACGGTTTCGTCAGTTTATTCACGCAGACGATGTGGATTTGGTGTTACAAACAAAAATCTCTTTACCTAGAGAGGATTCAACGAGATGGAGCTTATCATAAAATGGAAATTACAACACCAGAAGTGGCTACAAATTTCTCGAAACCTTGCAAGACAGACAGAGTAATCAAAATGGGCAACTACCATCTCTGGAAAACCAACTGTGGAATAACCTTTGGAAAACAAAAGCCCCCACAAATATCAAAAAATTTATGTGGAGAGCCTTATATGGAGCGTTAGTGGTTCGTCAACGATTGCGTACTAGTGGAATTGCTTTGGATACGAAATCTATAAGGTGTGGCCTACAGGAGGACAATATTTGCCATGTTCTGTTCCATTGCAAACCGGCTCGAGAAACTTGGCAAAGATCTGGATTTCCACTTCCCCCGGCTGGCTTCTCTCCCATTTATGTGTTCCTTAATTTCCATCATTTGATTGGAGAGAGCAGGAAACATAATGTATCCGTGGATACTAAAAGAAGATTCCCTTGGATTCTCTGGAAAATCTGGAAGGCCATGAATGTTTTTTGTTTTGAGAACTCGAGTACTTCTGCAGTGACAATTTTCTCTAGGTCTGAGGAAGACGCCTCAAGTTGGTTTCATGCTCAGATTACAAAACCAGAAGATCAGATTGATGGGAGACAAGGTGTTCTTCCGGTGGAAAGATGGGAAACTCCCCCAGTTAACTTGATGAAGTGTAATGTAGGTTCCTCATGCGATGGAGATACTATGATTAGTGGAGCTTCGTGGATCAACCGGAACTCACAGGGGCAGGTAGTATCTCATAGCAGAAGAGCTTACTCAGGGGTTATATCCTTGCTAGAAGTTGAGTTACTGGCAGCCTTTTCGGCGGTTGAAGCGATAAAGAACCTTCGTTTGAGCAGAGTTATTCTTGAAATATCCTCCATAGAAGTGTATGAAATACTTACCAAATCACTAAGGGGGCCTCGGAATTGTTTGGTCCTTGAGAATTTGCGTGCTCTCCTGCACACTGCAGGTAATTATCACATCACGTATGTTCATCATTCCTTGAATAGGGTTGCCTCTGAGGTCGCGACTAGTGTCACGCGGGATTCTCGTCTCCATTCCTATGTCGCATCTGGTGGCCCTCGCTGGCTTAGTCCACTAATTAACTTGAAGGCAGCAGCAAATGGTTCTGCATATAGACAATGAGTCTTCTACGGATGCATACGTTTAGTTGGGAAGGGTGATACTCCCTTGAGATCCCAAAGTTTTAATGTTTTTGCCCAACTTGTCTGGCTTTTTTCTGGTCACCTACAGGTGATTTTATTCTTGCTTTTATGGGTTTTTTTTGTTGTTGTGACCGTTTGGTCTAACTCTGGCACTTTGAACTCCCCAAATTGAAATAAAACTTGACCAAAAAAACTTAATCTATATATCTTATGTGTTGCACGGATCCATAAAAGTACCAAGAATTATTTTTTCCAAATTCGTTTTATTATCTTAGTATATATATTGTCGTTGGGGTCAAAATCGGTCACGACAGAATCAAGTCTAAAAGTCTCGAAAAAAGCGTACAAGAAACTATAGACTTTCTACGGAGATACGACGTTACGGAAAACTCGTATCAAAGTATGATATAATCAAAAAAGACCTCATTGCTTGTTGGGGTCAAAATCGGTTACGACGGAACCAACAACCAAAACTTTCCGTAAGTCTAAGATTAGGTTTTAAAAATATGAAAAAGCGTCGAGAAGAAATCTAAGGATTCTCTGAACAAAGAAATTCCGTAAACTTGACAACCGTCATCTTGGAAATCATCGGGAAATCGAGTAAAACAATCCGCGATTGTTTTATTGGCCAAATTAGCAAAAACCGGCCGTAACGTCGAAACTCCCTGAGATATTAAAACTACTGGTAACCTCAAAAT